GTCTGAGCCCAGCAGGGCGAGGCTGCGCTGGCCGGGAGCGTGCCGCTGGCCTCCAGCCTGGCGAGAGCAGCGGGACTCCGACGCCAACGAGCAAACAGAAAAGTGAGGCCGGGCCGGTGGCTCAGCCTGCCATCCCAGCACTTGGGCAGGCCGAGGCGAGTGGATGCCTGAGTCTCCGGGTTCGAGACCCACCCCGGGCAACTCGGCGAGGCTTCGTCTCTACAATTAAAAAAAAATTAGCGGGGCGCAGCAGCGCGCACCTGTAGTTCCAGCTCCTTGGAAGGCTGCGGCGGAAGGGTCGCCGGAGCCCTGAAGTCAAGGCAATTTTTGACCAGCTGAGGTCCCTTTGGTACTTCTTTCATCAGCACGTGATCCGAGGGAGAATGGGGCGCGCCAAGGAATCCGGCGGTCAGAGGATGAAAGCTGAGGGGGTGGGTAGGTCTACACTCATAGCCTTTCTGCCTGAGAGTGTGGAGAGGGCGTGGGAGGGCGCAGGAGGAGTTAGGGTGCCCCATCTGTGGGTGTGACTGTCGGCCTCTGACACGGTGCTGTGCGAGGATAGAGGCCACGTGGCTGCGGTCTCTCCTGAGGGGGCTGTCCTCCAGGGTGGTCTTAGGAAAGACTCGAGTGAGTCCAGAAACAGAACCATGAACACACAAGGAGAAAATGGAAAGCGCACGAGCTAACAGCCTCACAAATCACCGAAGGAAGCCGGAAAAGCAAGACCCCCCCAAACCCTAACTTCAGCAGAAGAATCCAGGTCACCAAGATCAAAGCCCAAATCCGGGATATAGAAGACAAAAATGCGATACAAAAAATCAATGAAACCGAAAGCTGGTTCTTTGAAAGGATAAACAAGGTTGATGGACCCCTGTGGAAATAAACACAAAAACCTGAGTGAAAAGGAGGACTTTCTTACATCACACAACCTCCCCACGATTGAAACAAGCAGAAATCAAGACCCTAAATAGACCAATAACAACCCAGGAAATCGACCGTCACAAG